TTTTGTGTTTGAAAGGGGGGGGGGGGGGGGGGGGGGTCAACAGGAGGAGAACAAATGTTCTGAACAACACTTTTCCAGTTAGGAAAAAAATATATATATAATTCACATTTCAGCTCTCTTCCACACGCTCATCGGGAAAGATAAAGGTTAAGATAAAAACAAGATTGTGTGCATGGGCATTTCGTAAGATTGGATATTTAACGCCCCATTCTTGCTGAATTGTAAAGAAATGTCAAAATGACTGACTTTATTCACCTCTACAGCATTTTCTTCTTATTAAAATTATTTTGGTGGATGTTCATCTATACAGCACAAACAAATAAGGGCAACAGAATCCTGGAAAATTTATGAGTGCTACTTTGAAATGAAATCTGTAAGACATGCAAGTCTACTGAAGCCTGTCGCTTTTCAAAAATTACAGTTGGAGATGTGCATTTACTCTACTAAATAAACATGAATTAATTCCCTTTCTGAGTCTAAAAAACGTTTCTTTTGATGAGAGTCACAAGCTGAGTGACGTGTACTTGGTCTCCTGTTGTTTGTTGTCTATAAACAAAAATAGTGTGCTTGAACTGGTGCAATTACTTGGTGCCACAGTGATAGCACGATTACGAATATCAATATTAGAATTTGGAACACGTACTTGCAAGCTAATCTGTATTAAGACCTGTGCTTTGATCAGAGCTAACAAGACAAGGGTGTAACAAGCCAAAACACACGCTTGGTAAGAGAAAACAGCAGCTTTGGTGGACAGGTATATGCAAGAAAATTATTGTGCATATGAATGTATTGCTTATGTTTACTTTAAACGAATAATTTTCGGAATAACACAACTGTGGCGCAGAGAATCTGTATTAGTTGGCTTTAAGTTATCAATATTATAGCCAAACTATAGGCAAAATAATTCATCCACACTGATTTGTATTTGTAATCTTGCTGACAGGGTGAATGTTTTATTTGATGACACTCAACTTCTTTATTGGCACAAAAATGCTCCATAAAGTTCTCAGAAAAGGGTGATTTACTGGGGTTAAGTCTGAATGAGAGGGCGGAGTCACGAAGGGAGTGGCTGGTGGGCGGGGAGAATTGTAAAGAGTGGGAGGGGCTCCAGATGCACTATGCACCAGAGAGACATAAAACAGCCTCACACGTGCATCTGGGTCTCCTCCCTGATGAATGAAAGAGAGTGTACATGTGTGTGTTGATTCAGTCCGGAATGTCGACAGTAGTCCTCCATTCTAGTTGACCATCCGTCACTGGAGGTCCCGGTCTTCAAGGTACCTGTACTCAAATGTGAATCCTTCCTTTTTTCTCTGGCCCCATTTCTCATAGTCAAAGTAAATATATGTCCCCTGTAGAAAAACAGCATAATTAAGTTAGTAATTATTAAGTTTTATTGACACATACACTTCTGATTAAAAGTTTGGGATAAGTTAGATTTTTAATGGGTTTGAAAAGTTTTTTAACTCTTATGCCCACCAAGGCTGCATTTATTTGATCAAAAACACAGTGAAATATTATTGCCATTAGAATAATTATTGTCTATTTTAATATATTTTCCAATATAATTTATTGCAGTGATGGCAAAACTGATTTTTCAGCACCCATTACTTCAATATTCAGTGTCACATGATCCTTCAGAAATATCAAGACTGAAAACAGTTGTTCTGCTCATTATTTTTGTGGAAACCATGATACACTCATTTCAAAATTCTTTGAATAGAAAGTTCAAAAGAACAGCATTTAGTTTAACAATGAAAAAGTATTTGCTGTCACTTTTCATTAATTAATTCAGCATGCCTTTAATTAAATTTCATAAAAACAAAATAAACTGTAGTGGCACACTCAACATATGGCGCATTTTCTTGGCCAAAATATGATGGGCCATAGAGTTCCGAGCAGCGGCTCTTGTTATAGTGTGACTCACTTGCTCAAACTCATCAGTGATGGTCTTGGGCTCCTCGTGCCTCTGGAACCACATCATGTACTTGGTGTGGAACCTCCATGATTGTTTTTTCAAGGCCTTGGCTGCTAGATACTGCGCTTTTGTACCCTAGGGAGTGTAAAGCAACAATTTGTCATTCACAGGAAATATGCCAATAAAAACAGGCTGTAATCTGACCGTAATCCTGAAATCACACTCTAAGATCAATATTACCACTAACTATCAATTAAATGCAAGCCATATGTGCTTACTGAAGGACAAAACAACCTGTTTGCAATTACTGAGGCTCCACTGGGGGTGTTAACTGTAAAGACGTGCACACACACACACACACACACACACAAACACCTACCTCTAAGTAGTAAAAGATGAAGAAGAGGGTCTCTGTAGACAGTCTCTGGTAGAACTCCACAGTGTCGGAGTGAGGAGGTGGCACCTGCTGGTGAAAAGGCAGTGTTGGGCAGGGGTTCCTCATCAGGTACTGCCTGTGTGTCCAAAAGAGAGTAAACAATAAAAATATTATTGATGAGAATACATTCAAAACAAGCCAAATGACCCTGATAATCTGAAATAGGTTAGGGCGAGATAGTATTTTTGTGTGGATTTAATATAGAGTACCAAATAATTCAAAATTAGGTAATTCAAAAATAGATACATTTAATTAATTTATTAGATTTTAATAAATAAATAAAAAAATAAATTTTATGTACCTCTAAATACATAAATACATACCTTTAAAATAAATACATACATGCAAAAAAAACTATTCAAATAAAAATAATAAAAATGAGTAAATGGACCAATCAGTACACTTTGATAAATTAATAAAATGTTTAAACAATTAAATTATTGAATGAGCCATTGAAGTGACAGGTGGAAACAAATTTTATATGAATTGATACATTTTTAAATTAATTTTTGAAATTTAATTAATTCACTCACTCATTCATTCATTCCAGTGCCTGTTTTATGAGAGCAGATATTATGAAATGTTTGTGCAATAATGTTTCCATAGAATATTATCAAATAAATTGGTAGATTGAAATATTATTATTGATTTACTTATTTAATTTTGATTACTATGGCTCACTAAGTGCCAAATATTTAGCATTTGGAAAAGTACACAAAAACAATGCAAATACTCCTCATTCTGCAATGCCCCAAAACATTAACATTGCATTATACTTTAGAATAAAACGGATAAAAAAATGATGACAAACTAATGCAAAACATGGTCACATTGTAAAGCAAGTTTCCAGGATTCTCCCAGACTTGGAAGCATGTGACTAGTCACCTGTCAGAATCAGTGAACGCTAAGGAAATGTGTTTGTGTGTGTGCTCACCTGATCCTCTCCGAGTCGGACGGGTGAGGCATGTGCATCCAGGCGGACTCCTGCATGGCTTGCTGGTAGAGTTGCTCTTTGGAGTGGGGGACGGGGCCCAGTGGACACACGCCCAACGATGGGGGGATGCTCACCTCTGACAGAGCAGACTGAGGTGCTGCAGGAGTACCTGAAGGGGCCGTGGAGCTGGGAAATATATCTAGAAGAGGACGAAGGAGAGAATGGAGCCAAACAACATAGAAAATAGTGCAAGATAAGCTGAGAGTAATGAGTACTTGTTGATACTTACCACTTGAGATATGTAGTGCAGACAGCTCTCCTTCTAACCCTGAGCCCTGGGCAACCCTCTCTGCCATCGACTTTAAAGAGCTTGGAGGCTCCTGATGCTGGAGAGAGTGGGAAAAAAAAGACCACACTTTGAAACAATGGTCAATTAAAAGCTGACTCTAGTGCTCTAGCATGTTCTTAAAACAGTGCCATGGGCAAATAATTAGGGATGATGAACAGTTCCTATGCATAATCGCTTCCAAGAAACGATTATGCATAGAAACAAGGCAGCTTTATAGTGACAACAGAGGCAAATCATAAAATTAATAACACACGGGCATATACAGATCACTGCTCCCTATGCACACTGAGCAGGGGATATGTATAGAATTTAGAATGTAAGAGATATTTTGATATATATATATATATGCAACTTATTTTATATGAAAACAATAGCTTCCATATATACATTTATAGAACACATTCATGTATTTTACACACACACACATTCTATATGATGATTTTTTTTCTCCAAAAGAACAGCATTTATTTGATTTAGAAATTGTATAATCTTTACTGTCACTTTTAATAGCCATCAATATAATTCAATATAATGCAGCCTCACTAAATAAAAGTATTTGTTTCTTTCAAAACCCCCAAACGTTTGAACAATAGCATATCAGTCTTTATACAACTAACAACCCAGGCTCTTGATGCTTTTTCACCACATTTATTTAATCTAAATTCATGTAGCATTAAGGTGGTGTGCAATAATTAATGTGTTAATTTCTCTGCCCGTTCCTGTCTAATCTCAGTTTGGCCAATCACACAATGAAATCCAATTTGCAGGGAACTATTGGGCAACAGGAATGTGGACTTCGCCTTGAGACGCGCACCCACTCATCAAACAGGTGAAGTGTGATGTAATGACACACAATGTGCTGAGTGCGAATGTGCAAACATTGCGTAACTGACCTTGATGGTGTCGGCAGCCTGTGTGTATGAGTGCGGGCCGTTCAGCAGGCTGCCACCGCCTGCTTTACTCTCACTGTATGACGGTGAGGGCGAGCTGGGCGGCAGTGTCATCAACCCCAGAAGGCTGGACCCACTGTCCTTACTGTTTTGACAGGAGGGAGAAGAGCATTTAGAAAATCAGTTTAATGAGGAATAACATACATTTGGAATTCAGATGTTTTTTCCCAGGAAAGTACTTTATACAATACAGATCTTTTCAAAGCAGCTTCACATTAATAAACAGGAAAATAAGTGTTAATGTTGTGAAATTCAATTATGAAACAAACTCAATTTCAGCTGTAAGGCAGCTCTAGCTCAGCTTAATTTAATGTTGATTCAGTTCAGTTCAATAAGAGTGTCAATGTTGCAAAGTTTAATTATGAAACAAATTTAATTTAGATATAAAGCAGCTCTGTAAGTTCAATGTAATCATTCAGCTCAATTTAGTTCAATGTTGCCTAAATAACAGTTCAATGACAGTGCCAATATCGCAAAATTCATCAGTTATTAAACAACATTTCAGCAACAAACGGCTGTATAGAAGGCAAAACATCATTATCCAGCTCAATTCAGTTCAAATGTGGTTCTCATTCAGCAGTGGCAGTGCAGTTTAATCAACAATATTACTAGTACTACTAAATATTATTGTCTTTTAAACCTCACAAAAACTTTTCACATTCAGTACGTTTACATGGACAACAATACTCTTGATTTTAATACGATTAAGACAATACTCTGATTAAGAATCTACCATGTAAACAGAGATTTTTGATGAAGTCATAATCGAAGTAAACACTAATCGAATTAAGACGTGGAGTATTCCTATTTTAGTCGCATTACTGAAGTGCAGTAAAGACATGTACACACCTTAATCACATTATTACCGTTGTGTAGGACTTTTCGCCGCATTTTGCGACAGGATCCACACACGGCAGTGGTCAACCTCTGACGGCAAATAAAAGAGCTTCAACACCGCCATCGTCTGAATGCACGTACAAATAATTAACTGCACTTGAAGCTTTCATAAAATTAAAAATGAAACACCCAAAACTGTACATGGCATCATCACGAAGACAAACTATATGTTTATACGTGAAATTCCGTTGGGGACTTCGGATGGCGTCGCGTGGTGACGTAATGACGTTTGCTATTAATCGAACTATGTACTATAATATGCAAAACAGGAACATGAAAGGAATATGCTAAAAGCAACTCGTGTAAACACCATAATCATAATATTGGCTTATTTAGAATAAGGTAAATAATTAGATTACTGATGTCCATGTAAACGTAGTCAGTGTTAGGTTGTTGAAGATGGTTGCCAGGGCATAGCAGTACTCACGGCTGATTTGTTGAGGAATTTAAGGATGAGGATTGGCTATTCTGTGATTGGATGGCACAGTTGAGGGCGGAGTCTGACGTGCTGTCTGCTACCACAGCACTATAACCTGGAAGATGCGGGAATATTTAAGTCAAAATGTGAACAAATGAAATTTCAGTGTCTTATAATGTTTTAGAACAAATTTATTCAGGGTTTATACAGGTTTTATAAGAAATGTAAGACTTTTTAAAAAAGCCTTTTTAAGTAAAGAAAATTTAAGGAATACATTAAAACTCATTATGTCTTCTATAGACAATTACATTTAGAGAACATATTGAGTTGTATTAGAAACACTTTTAACAGATTTCCATTATTTTTTTAATACATTTTGTGTTTCTGATTAGAATAAAATGGAAAACATCTGAAACTTTTAAAGACCTTTTTAACATTTTTCATACTCCATTGGAAAATATTTGTTCTTGTTTTAAACAAACGTAAATGTATCTTGATTTAAGGATGTTGAGATACCTGTACTGGAAAACAAGACAAAAAAGTACTGATCAATGCCATGCCTTTATGAATTTTAGACTTTCTGCTTACATTTAAGACCTTTTTTTTTTCTTAATTTGTGTATGGGCAAATTTATATTTTTAAGACCTGCAGAAACCCCGTTTATTAATTATTTTCCGGATTAGACAGCTATTCTGCACTCACTTGTACCGCCGTTTTGTTTCGGCCCACTAGGTGGCCGTGGTAGCACAGCACTTCCCGCTGCGTTTCCTGTCCCAGAGGTTCCTCCGTTGCTTCCGATAACTCCCACGTTGCTCCCTGAGGTCAGTGCGCCTCCCACAGAGATGGGAGCCACCAAAGGTAAGGGCTCCACAGTGGACTGTGTGGACCCAAGACCCAGAACACCAGGCCCTGAGCCCAAGAGGCTTGTGGAGCCTAGACTTCCGTTAGTCCCCACTGAGGTTACGACTCCACTGGAGTTTGTACTGCTAATATTCATTCCAATTGATGCTGACAGCCCGCTGCCCATGCAACCTGTGGCGGCCGCTTGTGCATAAGGCGCCGGGGTGGATCCGCTCAAAAACCCAGTCATGCTGTTTAAGGATGCCGGCATCCCTGAAAGAACCAGACCGGGCATCTGGTTTGTGCCACTAGTCACAGACGTCCCCTTCCCAAGGCCCAGACTGGAGGAAAGGCCCATTCCCAATGGAGGTTGGCTCTGCGAGCTGGGTGTCAGTGGGCCCGGTGTGCTGGTGTTGGGCGACGACGTGGAGGTGGATGTTGGAAGTAAGATACTGTTGCTGGAGGAGACCGAGTTGGCATTGGAGAGAGAGGAGACTGAGTTTTTGGGCAGGTGCTGCTGTTGGGATTGCTGTGTTTGTTGCTGGGTTGCTGAACTATAGCTGCCAGAGTTCTGGAGGGGGCCAACCATGTTGCCTAAGAGGCTGCTGCTCCCTGATGACAAACTTATGCTGCTGGCGACAGTCGCCATGGAGATCAAAGAGTTTGAAGAGACTCCCGAGGATGAGGATGACGATGAGGAAGAGGAGGATAGAGATGAAGATGGATTTCCATTCTTGGTAGGTGACTGCGACAAAACGACGGGATTTTTTGAGCTCGGTGTCAGTTCAAAAGGACTATAATATAAGTGACATGGGGTTTCTTTTCTCACCTGGCTGATTTCACTGTCTGTTGAACAACCTCTTTTCTTATCATCTTCCGAATTCTCATCAGCAGAAATGAAGAGAACATGACATAAAACAAAAGCAAACCAAAACTAATTACTGAATTGCATTTTAATAAACCATAATCATAACCATCCACATCATTCACACTGAAAATCTAAGAAGTGTTTTAGCAAATTTTTTTTTTTTGAAATATCACAGTTCATGAACAAATCAGGGTCCCATTTATCTAATGTCCCTTATTTTCAGGAAATATGGTGAGATTCAAGATAGATTTTCATGATAATTTGTAGTGCAAGACTGTAAATTCAGCTCTCCTGATGCAATTCAAGAGAAGACATCGCTTCAGTGCATTGAGCACAAACACAGCCAAACCTGAAGCTTCTGAGCGACGTTTGGATGAATATATGCTGATATATATGAATATATGCTGCGCGCTTTCCTCTAAATAATGAAATAAACAACAAAAACTGACAGCGGTGAGAGAGCAGCAGTTAAGAACGCATCTGATTACAGTGATGTGGATGTTGCACAAGCGCTGCAGTTCGGTACTCCAGTAAAGTCCAGTCACGTCACGTTTATTTATATAGTACTTTATGCAATAGATAGCCTTAAATCAAGCAGCTTTACACAATATTAAACATGAAAAACCAGAGTCAGTGTCACTTTCAGTTAGAATTACAACCTGATTTTCTGTTATAAAGCAGCTCTCCAGTGTGGAGCTAGCTAATGATAAAATCTTTTATTAGTGGGGAAAAAATATGATTTAATTAAAGTTATAGTTTGGTTTGCAGAGATCAAAGCTTGATCTAGCTCAGGACTTTTTTGATTATCATAAACCTATACTGTATTTTAAGAGAGATTATGCTGTTTATCCAACATAAAATAGTTTATCCAAAAATAAAGCGTCTTATCACTTACCTTTACTTTGTTTCTTATTCATATGATTTACAAAAGGAGATGTTAGGCAGAATGATGTCATTCAGTTACTTTTTCATATAGCTAATTAAATGGTGAATGAGAGTTTCTCTGTCATCTCATTTTGTGTGCCAAATATATTGATTTGTATAAATTAATTGTATAATTGTAATTACATAATATGACTTTCAAAAGCTGAAGTGCTTACCTTTATTTATTTGTTAGAATATATATAGCTCAGTATTTTAACTAACTGCAAAAGCTGAATAATCAATCAAAGTCTACTTATTAATCAGTGAAATAATCGATGATTAGTTGATTAACCGTTCTAATAATCGTTAGAGTAATCGATTATCAAAATAATAATTTGTTGCAGCCATATATATATATATATATATATATATATATATATATATATATATATATATGGCAAATAACTGCTAAAAATAAATAAACACACCAAGAAAAAAAAATACAATTAACAAATTAACAATTAATAAATGAGTTTGAAAATTATTTATATATTTAATAATATTTTCAAGTCAATTTAATCTTTAAAATAAAAATAAGCAAAAAAAGTTAAGTCTTAGTAATTATTATTCATATGAAAGGAGATGTCAGGCAGAATGATGCCATGCAGTTACTTTTTCATTTAGCTAATTAAATGGTGAATGAGAGAGATTCTCTGTCATCTCATTTGTGCGCCAAATATATTTATTTGTATAAATTAATTGTATAATTGCAATTACATAATATGACTTTCAAAAGCTGAAGTGCTTACCTTTATTTATTTGTTAGAATATATATAGCTCAGTATTTTAACTAACTGCAAAAGCTGAATAATCAATCAAAGTCTACTTATTAATCAGTGAAATAATCGATGATTAGTTGATTAACCGTTCTAATAATCGTTAGAGTAATCGATTATCAAAATAATTAAAAATTACATTTAACAAATTAAATTAAATTATTTAACAGATAATCGATATGATATCCCAAGCTGATGCGGATTAAACTTTAGGTCTGTCGCCGAGGAGGAGATGCTCACCGTAGTGAAAGTAGCTGGAGAGGGAGGTATGGGAGATGACGACGTTGTGGAGGTCGGTGTGGAACTGGAGTGCTGGAAGATCTCATCCTCTGTGTGACCTGTTGGAGATGTGGCAACTACTGGCTGGGCTACAAAAAAACAGGGGGGAAAATGTTATGATTAAGAACAAAACACAACAGAATTCTGATATGTGCACTAAATACTTACGTATGTCCTCTAAATCAATGTCATCATAGAGAAACTCATTCTCCTCAAAGTCAGGATCTTGAGAGGAATCAAGGTAGTACTCGACGTCATCTTTAATCTTGCGGACGGCATCCACCTGTATCGAGTCATTGTCCAGCATTCTAAGGATGGTTTCCAGCATGCGGATGTGAAACCGGTGCCTCTCGATCATTCGTTTCAGTTCCTCGACCCGATCCTGTTTCTGAGGGCACAGCATGAGAAAAATATTTACTAATGACCTACCAATGTGAATGAGCAGTCATTTTAACAGAACTAGCGAAAGAGCTGACAGGGAACACAAACACGATTTTTTGGTAAAACTTTTTTTATGGTTATCCCATAATTTTCTGTGGTAAACAACACAGTACATGGTAAATACTATGGTAGATGAATATGAACATCATTCAGTACCACAGTATTACCAACTGATACCATCAGATTTTATTACTTTCTTTTTAAGAATTAAAATATGACCAAAAATGTGTGCTTAGCATCAATAATCACTAATACATTTGTCACTTATCTTATACTTTTATAAAGGGCCAATCACCCCATAAGTGCCTCGGTTAAGGGGACAAAAGGACTCATTCATGAATCACCAAGTGCTGCGTTTGAACCAACCACTTAGTTTCCAACCCAGATCTTTAACTATTAGGCTAGACTATCCCACATCAAACAGTTGCATTGTAAAAGATGAAAAGGATGAGAACAAAGAATGGCGGAGTAAATGTAACTGACCTCTTTGTCTCCTTTCTTCTTCTTGGTCTGCACAGAAAGCGATTCAACCTCGCTCTCAAACTGGTCCACTTGCATGTTTAATGTGTCTATCGTGTTCTAGGAGAACCAAGGTACAAAGCAGAAGTAGACGACATCAGAAAATTGTGCGAAGAGAGCAACAGTTAAGATGAGTGTGTCTTTCGCCAAAAAGGACTGTGCGAACTAAAAGAATGATGGAAAACGACTTGGTGCGCCCACATTCACCACTGGCTGACAAATTCTCAGGGGCAAAATAGAGTAATTTCAACAGAAATCCATGCAATTTGGAATTTTACTCGAGGCTGATTTCAGTTTTCGCAACAGATTCAAGTTCAAGTCAATTTCACCAAAATGTAGTGTTATAGTTCAGAACTTACTTTTAACATATTGCTGTAATAATGTCTTATTAAACTAGAAATTAACAGAAAAGATGCAGATTGTAGCATAATTAAATAACAGATACATTGGATTACTTGTTCATGGTATCAATCTTCATCTAAAAGCAATGTCAAATGCATCCACTTCACTGGCAACAAAGAATGCGATCATGATATTTCCTTTGCTTGGATTCCTGGACCACTATAAGAAGTGGGAATTCAGCTGCTCTTTTTTCACTCCTCCCCTGACAGTAGCCGCCTACAATCATCTACATTAAAAACAAGGCTTTTGGCACCTAAAATGAGCCTAATGTTTTATCATATTGAATTAAGACAACTCCTTTTCGGTCAAATCAACATGAAGCCAAAACGAATCCTACTTTCCTTTATTAATGCACATTTCTTGATTTATCAGTGTGCATTAATCCAAATATAAATCCAAATATACTTTTCTCCATTATGAAGTTAACCAGAGTGCTTCATGCTTGCGTTCTTACCGCTAGCCACTGGCCGATCTCTTCTTTCTCTTTCTGTGCAGGATCGACTTTCTGAGCGAGGCCGAGTCCTTCTTTAGAGTACGCTTTTGTTTTGGTCTCCCGTTCCACAATCTTAAATCGCTCCATTTGCTATGGGGAAATTTTTTTTGCATTAGATTTAATGTTTATTTACTAAATGTTTAATGATTATTACATTATCTTAATCTTACAGGGACCTATGCATATTTCCCCCCAAAATTGCTAAAAGTTCTCAAATTTCACATTTCAAAGGTCTCACCTTACTGAAAACATTACTAATGTACTTCATCTAAAAAAAATATTTAAGATAATTTAAAGCATATTAAATTCTGCATTATTCATTAGTCTCCGGTATTTTTGTTCGATTAAAACAGACATCTGCTCACCGTCTCAATGATTTTGCGATTCTCTACTAGCTGTCTTTTGTCTTTGATCTCACTGGAGGCGACCCATGTCTTAATCTGGTCACGAAGACGCTGCAGGACCAATGCAGACAGAAACAGAAAGAGCAAGTAGAAACAAAGAATGAAAGAAAATTGAGCTGGACGCCTGAAATCAAGCGTGCCCAACTCATCCTGTGCCGCCAAGCACAGTGGACACGCGCACACATGACCCTCGGCGTGGGTAGCGCTTGTCCTCATAGTTACCAATAAAAAACACACCTTGAACAGTGAAAAGGCCAATGTCTTATAAATAAAAGAAAAAGTTGGTTCACCTACAGCGCATTCAGTTTGTGATCAACAGAAAATTCTCACCTGTAGTTTTTTTATCTCTTTCTTGAGGTCAGATTCATATTTCTCTTTTTGGTTGGCGTTGGCTGCATTATAGAGCTGGAAAAAACAAATCACATAATTCATGGGTAACATGTTCAAATATATGGCATATATAAAATGTTTTTTGTCAAATGTGTTTTTTTTAAATACCACTGTTCAGAACTACTGATCAAGTCTGAGGTCAGTAAGATTTAAAAAGAAAATGATAATTTTACTCCGCATGGATGCATTAAATTGATGTGTGAGAGGAAAGGCTTTTATCTTGTTATTTCTATTTAAAATAAATGATGTTCTTTTGGACTTTCTGCTCACTCAAAAATATTAAGCAGCAAAACGGTTTTCAACATTGATCCATGGAGAAGATCTATTGTGCACATGCTGCATTTTCCTGTGTCTACTCAACTACAGTGTTGAGGACTGTGGATTTTACCCATAAGTACACTACAGTGTATGGTGAAAAGACATCAAGGCGGTTATTTTTTATTTTTTTGAAATCACACCAGAGGTGTCTCTGAACACACACACACAGAACTGTGAACTACTGCCCACATTTACCACAAGAAAAAGATACATACAATCACATCCATAAGCAGATCAAATATAAATGAGAAAGATGTACAATAAATTAGGCAGACTTGCTTAAAAGAAGTTTACATTAAAACATTTCTTATTTTGTCTTCATTGACTACATTTGCTCATCATGGGAGAGGGACTCACACATTTGTGTTGTGGTTTAATGTAACTGCTGAGCAGGGTTGTTGTTGTGGGTGTGTATTAGTTTGCAAATCTGCTTTGGTGTGTGATTTAGCTTTTTGCTTTGTCACACTCTGCAAAAGTTAAAAGGTGGCCACATGGAGTCATTTTTAATGCAAGCATAGCATTATTACTGTATATTTGCTATTTGACAATTTCACACTAGTGTTCAAAAGTTTGGGCTTGTATTTTAATGTTTTCAAAGAAACTCTCTTATGCTCATCAAGGCTGTATTTCTTTGATCAAAAACAGAGTAAAACAGTGCTAATGTAAAATATGATTAAAACTTAAAATAACTGTTTTCTATTTCACAAATTAAGTTATTCCTGTGATGCAAAGCTGAATTTTCAGCAGCCATTACTCCAGTCTTCATTGTCACACCTTCAGAAATCATTCTGATATGCTGATTTAGTGCTCAAGAAACATTTTCCTATTGTTATCAATGTTGAAATCAGTTGTGCTGCTTAATATTTTTGTGATAATCATCATACTCTAATTTTTCAGCATTTTTTCTTTTGAATTTGGCATGACACTGTAAAACACTATTCTTGATAAATTACACCTAATTATAATTAACATGATGTATTGAGCTTTACACAAAGTGCATTCCTTACCTTTTTCCAAATGTCCTCAAACTGCTCTACCCCTTCTGCAACTTTTTTCAAACATCTGTCTATTTCCCCTGAGGAGAGAGAAGCAAACCTTAGGTACATGATGGGATGAGGTGAGACCAGGCCATATTCTCAGAGACACACACGCACACGTGCTTTGATGCAGATAATGCTAAATAATTTAAGCTACTCACGTAGCATTCTCCTCAAAATAAGCTGCATTGAGATATCATGCATTAAACAGATATGGCCCAGAAAACAATGCCCCTGTTATCATACCTTGAAGTTTTCTTTTATCAGCCATGACTTCTTGACTATGATGTTTGCTTCATGCCTTCTTCTACTGAAAAAGATAGAAGAGAAAATGAGCACCATTGTTGTGCTTAATATGAAATCAGCCGAGTCCCTTACAAATGACTGGATTTGTAAGAATCAAGACTGTCATTATAATGTGCTTCAATGCAATATGTCCCAAAAAAAAAAAAAAATTATATTTTTTATTCTATTTATACGTCTATTTTATAATTACATGTTTTTTCCCCTGAACTATTAGTGTAATTATTATAATGACACAGTGACATCATTACAAACATATAAAACGGCTCTTGTGATTGCTGTAGGAATGGTTAGACAGGTTTGTTGGGAATATAAAAATGCAAATACTCTTTTTACTTGGTAATTCTGGGACTAGCTGTAAAACTGGACCAAGTGGCACACTTAATTTGTCAATAAGCTTCAGTGAAGACTTATATTTATTCACACATGCAAAGCAACAAAAATGAGTTTTTATCTGCCGTTTAGTGGCAGTGTTTTAGATTAGATTATAACAGAAAAATCATAATAGTAAAAATAAATACATGAAATAATAGCATTAAACTTCTCCGCAAATAACTGTACAGAAAACAGGGAATCAAAAAAAAATCCATGGCATTGGTTGAGACAAAATACTGACATTAGAGCCACAGGTTTAACACTCTTTGGAAGTCAACCTCCAGATGACTTCCATGAAAATTACAGAGCTGTTTCCGCACATTAAACTGGAATAAGATCAAATAATTTAACACTGAACAAATTACACACTCCACCTTTTCACCTACACCATCCAAAAAGCATTCTATGCAAATCTGCTACACATGCTACTAATTTTAAGGAAAATACCTCCAACGCAAAGGGCAATTTGTCAGTTCTGGTTATCTACATGAGACCAGCCCTTATTATACAGGAGAGTTGTGCACAATTTTACAAAAATGTCTTTAAACATCTCCATAATAAATCTAAATCATTGAATTTAGATCATTCTATTGCATTTATTTCAAGTAAATAAATGTAGTAAATAATTAATCATATTTCTCAGCATTAGATACCAATCACTTGCAGACAGGGATTTCTAGTCAAATGTATACTTGCATTCTTAAAGTACGTGTTGGGATGCACACAAGCACACCAGCGTGAAACAAAGATGTGCTATCACAGTCTAAATTTAGCGAATGTATTAATCTATCCTTTGCACATCCCACATAGTACAGACTTGCATTGATGCATACATGTTATCAATGTTTATTAGATTCAGAAAGCTCAAGAGCATTGCTCAATACAAGCAGCAAAACCACTTGCTCACTAATGGATCCTTTGCAGTGAATGGGTACAGTCTTTACAATTATGTCGCGATTACAAAACAATACAGGTATTCAAGGGCAGGCTTTAAGATGGTTTAGATCCTACCTGTCCGATCGCTACCACTTTATTTATTTAAACGGAGAGTTATCTCAATTATCACCAGTAAAGTATGGAGTGCCACAAGGATCTGTCCTTGGTCATCTGCTATTTTCAATATACATGTTGCCCCTTGGTAATATTAGTAGAAAATACGGAATTAGTTTCCATTGTTATGCTGATGGTAGTCAAGTATATATATCTCAACAAGACCAGATGAAACTTCTAAATGATCTAAGCTAAGTGTATTAAAAATGTAAAAGATTGGATGACCAATAATTTTCTCCTATTAAATTCGGATAAGACAGAGATATTACTTATTGGACCAAAAAGCAGTACACACTACACAGAATCTCTTGGATTACAATTTGCAATTAGACGGATGTACTGTTACTTCCTCTACAGTCAAAAAGTCTGGGTGAAAGGCTATATTAGACAGCAACTTGTCTTTTGAAAATCATATTTCCCATGTTACAAAAACAGCATTCTTCCATCTTAGAAACATTGCTAAGCTACGAAACATGTTACCTGTTTCTGATGCAGAAAAGCTAGTTCATGGTTTAGTTGACTATTGTAATTAGGGTTGGGTACCGAACTCTGTACTTTTATGGGTACTGCCGAGTACCGAGTCACGTTAAATCAATCGGTGTGAAATTCCAGTACCGGAGAACGTATCTGGGTATGTCACCCCTGCAACTCGTTCAAACAATACACAGGGCAAGTCGAAATGTTCTGAAATGTGGTTACATTTCTAGGGCCATATGGTTTCTGCGAAAACGCGGACGGGATTGCGGAGTCCATTCATAAAAACCTAATTTACTGCGAAATGCCACGGAATTCGTCAATTTTGGACGAATAAATCAAAAGCAGCCACTGCCACTTAATTCAAATCGCGAAATGAATTAGTGTCTGTGAATATTAAAATGCAAAAAGACGGTTTAAATATGAATCCTGCATGTTCCGCTTGCCTCTGTATGTATGAATGGCGGAAATGCAGTTTTGTTTACTACACAAATACTGAAGCACGTGTGACGCTCGCAGTGATTTTCGGCCTCTGTGTCTCACTATATGACGGCATAAACACAAAAACTTAATCTCCAGAGCTGCTGTGAGTCACTTCGCGAGAATTTTGCCATTTCATTTGAGAAAACTAGCATCATCATACTGTATACGCACAGAAACTTCACGGCAACCTGTCAAAATAAAAGTACAGTTTAACATGTAAAATAAATATATGACATTTTGAAGTTAATACAGTTATAATACAGTTAAATATAATAGTTTCATTTTCATTTGATTTAAAATAAATGTTTAATGCCTTCATTTGATTTTCAGAAAAATGAAAACAAGAATTTCTGGAAAAAAAGAAAGAAACTTTGTAGGGCTCTATTGATCAAAATGTTGAAATTGAGACTTTTGGACTTATTTTTTCACTGAAATAAACGTTTTTGTAATTACACAGAGCGTAAAGTTCCGAAAAAAGGTACCATTGGGTACCGGCACTGAAATTCAGGTACCGATACCGTACCAGTTAAAATGTGAACGATACCCAACCCTAATTGTAATGCACTGCTAGGTGGTTGTCCTGCATCTTCAATAAACAAGCTACAGGGAGTCGAAAATGCAGCGGCTAGAGTCCTTACCAGGTCAAGAAAATATGATCATATTACCCCAATTTTACAGTCTCTGCACTGGCTACCTGTTAAGTTCCGTATCAGTTACAAAATATTATTACTTGCCTATAAGGCCCTTAATGGGTTAGCTCCTGCGTACCTAACTAGTCTTCTACCACGCTACAATCCATCACGCTCCCTAAGGTCACAAAATTCTGGACTTTTGGTAGTACCTAGGATAGCAAAGTCCACTAAAGGAGGTAGAGCTTTTTCACATTTGGCTCCCAAACTCTGGAATAGCCTTCCTGATAACGTTCGGGGTTCAGACACACTCTCTCCGTTTAAATCTAGATTAAAGACACATCTCTTTGGCCAAGCATTCAAATAATGCATCTCATAATCTTTTACTGCAGTCATAATCTTTTACTGCAGTTATATCTAATCAAATGCACATTATTATTCATTAGTTTGGGTTAAACAAATCATTTTTGCTTGGTTGGAACAGCAGCTACGCTAATTATGTTTGTATTTGTTTCTCTGTCTTTTGCCACGGGATTAACATCCCGTGGTAACTAGGATTCACACAAGCTTCAGTCTGGATCCAGAACACCTGAGAAGAGATGATGCAACCCCTCAGAGGACCTCAGATGATGCCAACCCTGAAACAACATACAGAACTACCACATTTTGCTATAAGTTTGATTGCATCATATAATAATTGCTGTTAATATTATTCATCGTCTGTTTTATTACGTCTTATATTGATTTTTCCGTTCTGCTGGTTCGTCTGGTCAGAGGAGAACTGGCCCCCCGACTGAGCCTGGTTTCTCCCAAGGTTTTTTCTCCATTCTGTCACCGATGGAGTTTTGGTTCCTTGCCGCTGTCGCCTCTGGCTTGCTTAGTTGGGGACACTTCATTTCCAGCGATATCGTTGACATGATTGCAAAGATATTATTTAAACTGAGCTGGATGTTGACATCACTGAATTCAATGATGAACTGTCTTTAACTGAAAAATGAGTGTTTACTATTGTCACTTTGCATTATTGACACTATTTTCCTAATTAATGCTGTTCAGTTGCTTTGTCACAATCTGTATTGTTAAAAGCGCTACATAAATAAAGGTGACTTGACTTGACAGGAAACCACACAGGCTTACTACAACAGGCTCAGACAGGCCTACTTCGGAGCACGAAACGAGCCAGGAATGGAACAGGATTTCAACTTCAAAATTCTGTTCCTCCGGAACCTGCACC